TTGATAATAGCTCTCCCTGTGGTTTGCTGGATTCCCACAGCCTTAGAAATGTCTTTGTAACTCTCTCCACAACATGAGTGCCAGTCAGAGAGGAGAAACCTAAGCTTCAGAACCGCTGCTTTCTTCTGGGCCAGCGCTTTATCTAACACACAGGGTTCTGGGTCTTATAATAGAAAGTCAGTATTCCTACCGGGGGGGCTGTGAGCCAAATCAGAAGGTCAGATGGAACAAGTCTTCACTTAATATCAGTGTTAGCTTTCAGCTCCATGCCAAGTCCCCCTTGTAGAACCCAGCAATGCCCCGCAGCTACTTGTGGGTGCTTGTTTGTCAGTATGTGAGGTGTCGTTTAGTGACTGACCTGAGATTATGTGCTTATCAGTTAGATTAGCTTCTTTTGCCACTGATCTGACCTGCACGTCTGCTTCGCAGTGCCACAGACCCGCAGCAAACTGCTGGAGGAGCCCGCGTGTGTGAATCTGTGGGATGTTTTGCAGTTGTACCACATTACACTTGCTCTAGTTGTTTAGATCGCAACACATGGGTTATTTCGGGAAGATTAACTTCATGTGACATCTGTGTGGGTATGTTTCCATACGCGCTACGTTTTCAATCGTACGTTTGTAGGCTGCAAACTGTGCTCCCTTTGAACTTTTCCCCTCAATCAAGTCACGGTAACTAATCAAGTGAATGCGGACCTAATCTGTGTTTGTTCATTTGCTTGAAAACATTTTTGTGAGTAAACTACTGCTACTACAAAGTGCTGCACAGATGAAATCAATGAACATTCGAAATATGGAAAAGCCATAAGAAAAAAAAAAGACAATAAAATCAAACACATTTGCTCAAGATTTAGATTAAATGTATGATTAGAGAAGAAAACAAAATGTATCTTTATTCTTTCACAAAATCCACATATTTCAACCGCACACACGTTTCTTTTGAGATTCTAAGTGAATAACTGTGAAGAAGAAGAAAATCCAGATAAATAAGTCCTCAGAAATCACCTAATTACTAAACAAAGTTCACAACATTAGTGCCAGAAAGCCTAACTCTGAACACACAGTGTCCATGGTGATACATGGCAGTGGCAGCATCATGTTGTGGAGATGCTTTCCTTCCACAGGGACAGGAAAACCAGTCTGAGCTGATGGAAACATGGACGAAGCTAAATACGTGGCAACCCTGCAAGAAAACACTGTAGAGGTACCAAGAGGCTATTAAAATGAGTGACTGTAACATGACAAAATATTGCACAGTACTCTGGGTACGATTATGTTTGCGAGACACGCTCTTCAGACGCGGCGCGCAATGAAACAGTTAATCGTGCCGAAGGGTGAGTGATGTCTGGCTGCAAAAGCTGCAGCTTTAAGAGGTTTTTCCTGTAAGACACACATGAGGTTTACATCTCAGTTTCCATCATGTTTGATCCATGACTGCCTGCTGTAATCATGTTATAATCTTGAAATCCTTCCAAATCCCTGGAAATCTGCTCTATGGTCCTGCAAGCACTCTCACACACAACCCGTCCTGGTAGATATGAACCAGCATCTACACTTCTCACCACTTAAATTCCTCCATTTTTGAGCGCTCTCTCGATTTTAGTGTCATGAATATCTGCTCTCACAACAACTTCCTGTTTGAAAAGTTATGTCAATATATGCAGCAATCGTATGTTTATAGGCTGCAACTGTGCTCCCTTTAAATTTTTAATATATAGCGTTGGAAAAAATGAAGAGCTCACTGCACCTTTGAAAACCTGTTATTCCACCAAATATTGATTCCTGAACTCTTCCCGAGTTAGAACATTAGTGTTGTTGTTTCTAAATGAATATGAACTTGTTTTCTTTGCGTTATTTGAGGTCTGAAAGTGCTGCATCTTTTTCGTTATTTTGACCATTTCTCATTTTCTGCAAATAAATACAAAATTTTTGCTTGGAATTTCAGAGACATGTCAGAAATTCATGGAATAAAGAAAAACAATGTTCTTTTTACTCAAACATGTAGGTAGCTGTGAAAAGTAAATTCAGACAAACTGACCACTTTAAATGGTCTCTTAATTTTTCATGAGCTGCATAAATATGCAGATCTTTAAAGAGCAACAGTGTAAAACCACATCCATTCACTCTACACAATGTTGGGTTTTGTTTTTTTGGCTTCGGTTCTTGCAGCTATTAGGTCTGCATGTAAGGAAGAGAAATAGTTCTGAAGCTTCCTGTAGGCTTATATTGAGTTTGCAGTCTGTCACTGAGCAGGCCCTTAGTCACCATGGCACTGCATTACTGTTGCTATGGTTTCCTTATCTGCAGGATGTGGTTCAACCAGACCTGCCATATTTAGTCTGCTTCTCAGCAAGCAAGCCTGCTGCTGCTGGATGCACTTAGCATCCCTTGTTTTTTTCACTGTGAACAATGAAGCGGCTCTGTTGTGTAAATCTTTACTTTTGCACTTCTAGCACAACATTAACATAATTAACATCATGTACAATTACATAGAGGGGAGTGGTAAACCAGAAATTAGACTTCTTTATCTTTGAAATTACAAAATATTGAACAAAATAATGCTGACGAACCTCACTGAGCCTACATTCTTGTTTTGTTTATATAATCCGCTTATAGTTCCAGATACGAGATCTGCAGGATTAAATACTCTGAGATTATTATTGTCTCTCTTTAAGGCTTTATCACAGTTTGGTCTGAACCTGCCAGTCTTCGGTCCTTCACAGATTGGAACAGTCCACATGGAAATCTGACTTTCTTGGTAGAAACATTATCTTATGTGGAATTAAAAAAAATAAAAAAAAATCCCAAACACTTTATATCATATAATGAGACTTTCTTTGTAGTAAAAAAATATACTGAACACAGATTTGAGCAAGAATTACATAACTTTGTAAGAAACCCCTCAAATATCCATCAGTCTGCTTGGGTAGAACCTTGGATATTTATGTGGAATGTTAAAATGTCTCTTTAAGTCTTAATCCATCTTAGAACCGTAAACAGAACACAGTATATTTTTATTTAGACAAGGAAAAGTGAGACTTTAGTAGTTTGTGTTTCTTCCTGTTCAGAGTAAAGGAAAGCACAGACACATTCACAGAAACCAGAGAAGGATTCATCAGAATAACGGATTACTGGGTAAAAACATGATCATAAAAATAAACATCTTTATTTAAAATGTTTGCACAGCCTTGCTGGTTCAACGTCTTAGTGCAGTTCAGGACAAGGTTGGGAATGAAGTTGATCAGCCAAGGAGACTAAAGTCGTACTCGTCAGCCGAGTCCTGCAGCAAGGACAGCGGAGTCCGAGTCCCGAGGGAAAACACTTCAACACTTGGAAAGCAGTGAAGGTTCTGTTAGGATCCTGGAAGCTCATTTAGTGATTTCCTTTGTCCAAAGAGCTTCAGCAGAGACATTAGACATTGCAATAATTAATGGAAAGAGGCGCCTTACTTTATCTTGCTCTAAATCTATACATTATAAACAACTGATTTGAATCTTTGCCTCCTATTTAAATTATTGCTGAACATGGCTTTATGGCAGGAGGGAATAAAATGGAGTACCGGAGAGGAGAAACTGGATAAATAACAACGAAATGAAATTCTTTGCAAAATAAGGAGACCGTCAACTGGTGAATCATGAATCACAGTTTTCAGTTTAAGATCCAACTCTTCAGCGGACGTGGACAGTTTCCAACCCTGACACTAATGATGCACTTACCAAGAAAAATCAATAACGGTTTTCAAAGTTTTAATCATTTCCCTTAACGATGTTCTGGTCGTCTGGAGGCTCTGGGATTTGTACGGCAGCAGTAAACATGCAAGGAATAAATCAAATTCATGAAGTGAGTTCACTTCATGAATTTGTGTGAACTAAATAAGTTTGACACCTCAGACTTAGTGAACCTTCCAAAGGCTTTCAATTTATCTTAAGTCTCAAGTCAGGAGCTTTTTGTTTTTAACTCATTAAAGAAGTCATCAAGTCATTATTTTGTTGTACAGCCATTAAAGTTGTGCAGCTTCACTTTGGGAAGTTTTTAGACCATTAAATGTACACAATACTGATTATAGACAGCTAATAATTTAAACTCTTCTATTTTATCCTTTGCTAATTAGTCCACTGGTTTAATTATGCTCTTTGAACATTTCCATATTTTCTTATATTACAATCTCAAACTAAAACAAGTGGAGCATGACTAAGAAGTGGTTAAATAAATAAACTGGTGCATTACTTTTCACCACACTACATTGCCCCTGTGTGACCTTTTAAGGTCTCCTGATTAGCAAATAAATCACATGTGTGTGTAAATTATTCTTAGCATAAGCGGTTTATTTGTGCTGACCACAAAGTTTTGCTAGAGAACATCAGTGAAGAAAAACATCATAACGACGATCAGGGAGCACAGTGGACAGGTCGGGGATAAATCAGGGTTAGCTTATAGAACAATAAAGATATGAACATCTCACAGAGCACTGGACAATCCAATTTAAAATGAAAGGAGTGCAGGACGGCTAAACCTTTGAAAATGAGGCTGTCCGGCTGGACTAACAGCCAGGGAATAGCAGCATTTATCGCAGAAGCAGGAGGCACAAATTGTAGTGTCTGTGTTTTCAAAGCTGAGCATGCCTCAGAAAACGAACAACGGTACTTACAGCAAATATGTACATAGTACATGTACATACACGGCTATTCAGATTTTATTTTACCTCATAATTATACATGGCTTTGAAGTGGTCCATCACATTCTAATAAAAGATTTTGAAATAATAGGTTATAAAGTGACAAAATGAAAAAAGGGTGGGAATACTTCATTTTGCTATTATTACTTAAAGGCTTGACCGTCTGCAACATGTTTTGTGCCTTGTTATGATGACGCTGGAGAGGTTGAAATAATGTAAGGGCTCAAATGTTGTTTTTTTTAAAAGGAAATGTCATGAGTGGGCTTCTCTAAACATCTTATGTAAGACATGACAAACGAGGAACCCCCTTCTCTTTCATACTTCTGTTTTTTTTTTTCACTCCATTGATTTGCATTAAATGTCTGCAAGCCATTCTAGGAGCTGCTCGGATTTGTTTTCAGTCAAATAAAAACAAAATAATTGAAGGGGGAGCCTTCTTAGACAGGACCCAAATGGCTATAACAAGATCATGCACGTTGTGTTGTGGGTGGGAGTAACTCACGCATGCGTATCAAACCCTCTCCTCCAGCCAGGCGCTAAGTGGAAAACAAAGAGTGAGCAGCGGCTAGGAAATACGGTCAATAGCTTTATTATTATTATTATTATTATTATTATTATTATTATTATTGATGAAAGAGATAGATTTGAAACATTCAACAATCTTTACCGCATGTCGTGTAAAATAGGAGAAGACTTCAAATCTCGAGGCTGTAAGTGAGTGAATCGGCTTTGTTGTTATAGAATCCACAGGTTCTGATCTTTGATTCGTTCTTCTTCTTTTCTTTAGAAGAAAAGACTTTTGTGGACGGATCTGGACTGAGGTGACTGCATTAGTGGGCGAGGAAACTGTTGCATCACTCCAGCTTGCTTTCGCACACCCCGGACCTGCTCATTCCATCCAAGTGCCGGGGATGATGACATTTCCTGTCTCCGTGTAGATGAGGAATTGCGAACCGAGAAGCTGTAAATTCATAGAGGGACTCGTAAAACCGCTAAAAAAAAGAAAAGGAAAGAAAAGAAAAGAAAAATCACTTCCCCGCACTTCTGCAGAGCGTCACTTGACTTGTCGCCTCGCGTCGCTTCTTTCAGCAGGTGGGTTTTCACTCGTGGGGCAGAGGGAAGTTCCCTGCGCTCGGGGCGGCCGAGGAGAGGCGCTGTCTGTGGTCCTGAACTCGCATATCCCACCCAGGAGTTGGCCTTGAAGACAACTTCAAAACAGAGCTGGAGTTGCAGCAGCGGTTGTCCCACCAGCAGCTCCTCATAGGGCTGAATATGCTAACTCTGCACCGAGTTCAGCAGCAAACGTTGCTTCTGTTGTTGTTCGTCGGTAAGTATTGCATCTTGAGGTTGGCTCATACATTGTCTGGTTTAAATTATCAACGTTCAATGCTGTGTGTTTGGCCGTGGCGCATTCACGGTTGTGAACATTGGCGTTTTCCAGAGCTTTCCGTTCGTTTCATAAAATGGGTAAACTGGAGGAAAGAAAGCGATGTTAGGCTGTGTCCTCTTATTTCCTTCTCGTCTCCTTCTCTGTCCTCTTGTTTGTTTCTCTCCGCCCACATAATGTTTTTTTTTTTTTAATAAAATAAAAAAGGATGAGATAAAATCAATGTTGTCACTGTCTGCCCAGGGCAAGACTCTGGTTATATAACAGCAGTGGGCCTAACACAGTCACATAGACATTTTGTGACATTATAAGCAACTAGAAAGCATCCTTTGACAAAAGAAAACATATACAGTTTTATGAATATACAACTGTCTGTTACCTTTATCTTCAGCCTTGAGAGGACACTTAAGTATGAATACAACTAATTTTGACCACTTGACTCTTTTCTTTATTTATGGAAAATAGTCCACTAAAAAAAAAAAAAAAATCATAATTTGAAGTCTGATGTCATTACCGGGCAGAGCAAGACTAACAATGTCTGCTGTACCATTAGTGTTTTTCAGTAGTGCACATTTTTACATACATCTGTTGATAGAAGGCCTAAACAATAGGAGCCACAAACGAGGGAGTGAAGGAGTTTTGTTTCTAGAGCTGCTGGCTGCAGACTCCAAGTCTATGCATTTATAACCACTGCATCATTTGCCTTTTTTACTCAGTTCCCTCTCCACCTTATTCAATTAACTGAAATGCAATTATATTCCAGCCTTTTCCTTCCTCACTTTGCTCACAGTATGATGAAAACCCCTTCAAATGCTTCCCATAGTTTCTGTGATCTTTACCAATATTGCAAAACCAAGAAAACTTAGGAACCACAATATTTTCTTTGTCGATCTTTTATAACACAGAACTGTAAGCTTAAGTTTATGCCTGTGTTTATGTAAAATCAAATACAGAGTGAATACATGTTCAAGATTCATTAAACACTTTCTTGAAAGTCGACAAATTTTACATATGGAAGTATGAGTCAATTGTGGACATGAATGTGTGAAATATTGCTTCTTTTTTTAGTCCACCTGAGCAGGCCAGTATGTGTCGATGTGGCGTCCGACACCGAAGCAGTGCTAGGAAGCTCCATGAAGCTGACATGCATCTCCTGTTTGAAGAGGGAGGAACTCAAACCAAACACAAATGTGAATTGGTATTTCACGTCAAGTGAAAACAACACATATGACAGGATTCATGTATGTTTCCAGAACAGTGTTGTGTACGACCCATGCTTTTGAGTTCTGTGCTTGATCGGTTTAGACTGTAAATGTTAAATTTATTTATTTATTTATTTTTTTACCTAGATTTTTGAAAGTAACAAAGGAGACTCACAAAGCCTGGATGGACCCTTTAAAGACCGTCTGATCTGGAATGGTAGCAAAGACCTGCAAGACGTCTCCCTTTTGATCCTACATGTCACAGAGAGCGACCGTGGTATTTACGAGTGCCACGTTAATCGCACGTTTGAGTTTGGAACCTATACACCATATACAGTGACGAAGAAGAACATCACACTGACCGTGAAAGAGAAAGGTACGGTTGTGTCCATTATTTTGTGTGTAAATACAGCAGAAACCAGATATTCAACTCACTGTGTGAAAAGACACCCATTTTTTTTTGTCTCAGTTAGTGATGTAGCATTACACCGCCATTAAAAAACAAGCAGAAAAAGAACAACCAATCACTCACCCTAGAAGACAGCGTTGCCTATAGCAACCAGGGACAACCATACTTCCTCAGTAAGATGGCAATTTCTTTCACTCCCAGTACCTGACTGAATCACTCTTAAGATACTCTTAAGACTTCTTGGCAATAATTTTTGGGCTAAGATAGAAGCTCCCTGAGGGATCTGAAAATCCTTCTGCATACAGGCTCTGGTGTTTTGCTGAAAGCTGCTAAGCAGTTAAATGTTTTATTTTATTTTATTTTATTTTAGAGCTGCCTGAATCAACACTGCACTGTTTAGATGCAAAACTGCTGGCCTCTGTGCACCTAGCCCTGTCTCTGTGCTCTGCCTCCTCTTCATGTGATTTTAAAATGTTTATCATGCCAGCATGACTTGCTTTGTAATTATAAACCCAACTTTTTGTCTCTGCTAAGTGATGCATTACTGTGAAAGCACTCTGCCACTAACAGTACCTCTTCCCTTTCCCCACTCTTCTCTATGTTGTGACTGGTTTTAAAAAAAAATAATAATAATAACAACTGTGTTTTGTTTTGTCTGCCTTTATTTTTTTTTCCATTAAAGCTTTCTTCTGTTGTCTGTGAAGGCCTTAATTCAAACCAGCTACTTTGCTATCTGTTTAAAACTGGGTAATGTATTATGCTTCCTGGATGTTTGGCCTGCTGAATGTTTCATCTTCCACCTCAGTCGAATATACAAATCAACGTGTATATTTGGAAGTTCCTAAATCTGTTGCATTTCTTTAGATTTTCATTTTTACTGCCTGCATTTGGTAGAACTTTTAATAAGATGCATATACACGCAGAATGCTGCAGTCAGATTTCTTTCTGCACAAATATCAAAAATCTTCCTTCATATTTCATACAACAGCGGTGTCGAGTTCCAGAAAGCCTTTTCTGCAGCAACCATTATGCAATATGTTCTGATAATGATTTTCATGGTAACAAAGTGGAAACGCTTGCCTTCAGTGGATCTGTGCTTTCTCATCTAATGGATCATATTACAAAAACAGCCAAATCAAGTTGGACAAACACAGTTCTTCTGAGAAGGTTTTCTGGAATTTGGTACAAACAAACAGGTTCACAGTGGCTCAAAAATGTTAAGCTTTTATATACAATTTCCAGACGTCAGTTTGTTGTTCCCAAGACATTTTGGTTCCCAAAGTCCAGTTTCATGTTTAAATCATCTGTTAAGGTTCTCCTCCAAACGAAGTCTAATTGTGATTGATGGTTGACGTTCAGTGCTTCGCAAAAGCATTTCTGCTTCTTTTATATCATTAAAACTGTCAGTGCATCAATGCATTTTATTAGGGTTTGGTGTCATGGACCAACAAAACAATTCACAAACAGTTAAGTAGAAGGAAAGTAATACACAGTTTGCACACTTCCAGCTGAAATATTGAAAGTGTTGTAAATATTTGTTTTATATCTATTCTCAACTTTCCTGCTTGTCAAAAAAAAAAAAAAAAAAAGATAAATGTTCCCATGGGATGATAAGGCTATGCCATGTTTTGCCATGGGAACGCGCTGTTCAAGGTGATGTGTGAGGTTAGTTTTCCATCATCTCCTGTTTGGCTTCAACATGCCTTGTGACAAAACTTTAAACTGGGTGAATGGCGTATTTTCTTCTCGGAAGGCTTTGTTGTTTTTTCCACTTTAGAGATCAGATTTGGATGGTTTATGGCTAATAAAGGCTTCCTGGCAGATTCTCCCACCTGAGCTGTGAATCAGCTTAGAGGATTAGGGCTGAGGAAGCAGGTCAAACTTTTCAGTGTTTTATAAATAATACCAAAAAAAAGTTGAAAACAATTTTTTCTCAGATCAGAATTATGCACAATGTTCTGATGGTCGATTACATGAAAACCCAAAAATACATTGAATTTTGTGGTCATATGTGAAACGGCTTAAGGGGTATAAATACCTTTGCGAAGCACTTCAGGCTCCAATGACTTTTTAATTTCTTATCTTTTACTACAGCTTAGTGAAGAACTTTAGAAAATATAAACAAATAGAATAGTGAAAACACTCTTTCTTATGGATTTAAAGATAATAAATGACAAGAGTAAGCAGAAACTTTCTTCATTTGATGCTATAATTGTTTTCAAACAACAACAAAAAAGAAATGTTTGAGCCAAGAACCACTGTGAGTTTGCACCTCCATTTTATATCATACACAAAGGTACCCTGTGGAGCTTTCACAGTTCAATAGGCAGGTTTGCTCTCTGCCTGCATGTAACTTTGTGAAATCTCTGCAAGGCACCTTTCCTTTCACATTTTTAGATTCTAATATCATCACTCAGTACTTATGCCCATCATATTTACCTGTATATTGTTAGACTTATCTAAAACATAATGCATCCTAAAAGCATGAACTTATAAGAGGAATGTTTTTTTTAACAGTACTTACTGTAATTGGTAATCAGACAGAATGTCATTACTCCTAAATGTAAAAAAAAAAAAAAGTTTTTAGTAGATTAACAGAAAGTGGGATTTTTCATGTTGTTAACAAAATGTATGTTGCATGGAAACCATCATGTTTTGGGTTTTTCGTGTATAGAGACTAATAAAATATATATATTTTTGAATAAACCAAAATGCAAATCAAG